CATGCAGAGCCTTGAAAATGAGCTGATGGTGTATCAACTTGTTAGCAGCTGCAGTCGAATATAAAATATTATCCAATCAAATTATTTTTATTTGAATACATGTAGAAAGGCATACATGATAATGATAAAATAATGTGATCATTTGTACGGCAGATGGTTAATGGTTAAAAACATGTAAATGTGACTATGTTTTGGTTTGAACCAGAAATGTACTTTTTTATGTTCGATTAAGCAATAAATATTTAACACAAACAAACAAACTGATTTAAAAAAACCTGGGCTAAGCTGAATAGCTAAACAATTTATATTAATATATAATATAAAATAGTAATTAAAATATAAAATAATATTAAAATATAGATAATAAATTTAAATAGTAAAATGTAACAAAATAAATATAGTGTTATGAGAAAAACCAATATAAATCGTGTCTTTCATTCCACCTTCTCGTCAAATCGACAATAAAGAATTATATTGCTGTATTTACAAAAAAAGAGGATTATAAATTGAAAAGTGCACATATATTTTCGGAAGACATGCTCAAGGGTTATTTTGTTATTTGCATTCAATACAAAATTATTAATATGCAATCTGTGACCTCCTCTTAGATTACCCTGGGGTTTTTTCTCGCGGTTTACTTGACACGGACCAATTTCATTCTAAAGTATTTTTATAGCACTTATGGGTGAAGAGAAACAAGTGTATCTTTTTCATTAACAGTAACGATGTAACGGCCTAGCATCAAAACTCAATCTTGCTTCACATTTCTATATAATCTTTAAATTGGAAACATGGAAATAAATGGAAAGACTTTCTTACACTCATTCACAATATCCATATCCAACTACTTATCCATACTTTAATTCATTCATTCATCCAAAGATCTACCCATCCATCCTACCATCTGTGCATCCATCCATCCATCCATCCATCAATCCATCCTTCCATCCATCCATGAATCCTTGCATGCATGCATGCATGCATCCATCTGTGCATTCATCCGTGCATCCACCCTTGCATTCATCCATGCATCCATGCATGCATGCATCCATCCACCCACCCACCCACACACCCATCCATCCATCCATCCATCCATCCATCCTACCGTCCATCAGTCCATCCATCCATCCATCCTGCCATGCATGCATGCATGCATCCATCCATTTTACGATGCGTGCATCCATCCTACCATGCATGCATGCATGCATGCATCCATCCTTATCCATTCATCGATCCTTTCGTCTATGCATCTTGCATGCATCCATGCGTCCGTCCGTCCATCCATGCTTTTATTCATTAAATCCCTCCATTCATTCACCAATCTATAATTGATGTATCTATTCATTTCATACTGTAAAATTTTATATAAACATTCAAAAAGGAGAAACAGTTGGTAGGAGATGTCAAGCAAAAATAAGATGCTCTAAATCAACTTATCCCTGTCAGGTGTCTGTAACATTTACATCACATTATTTCCATATGTGGGTGCTTATCTCTAAATAATAGATAATTGCAATGTATTCACCACTATATATGAAGATTGTGTTCCTGATGCTGAACTAACAATAAATAGAAGCATTTAAATAATTAAATATAAAAGAAAATCTAACATCCACTCATCCATCCTACCATCCATCCATCTGTGCATCTTGCATGCATATATGCAATCCATCCATGTATCCTTGTATGCACGCAGTCCATTCATCCATCCATCCATCCTACTATCTATCCATCCTTGTATCCTTGCATGCATATATGCAATGCATCCATTTATCCCATCTATCCATCCATCCATCCATCCTACTATCTATCTATCCATCCATCCATCCTACTATCTATCTATCCATCCATGCATCCTTGCATGCATGCAGTCCATCCATCCTACTATCTATCCATCCATCCATCCTTGCATGCATCCATGATTTTGTTCAGGATTGAATTTTTTTAAATTAGATAAATCTCTAAATTTTTATTGTAATAGCTTTGCTAAAGTGTGGAGAAATTTTCCTGGAAAGAGCAAAAATAATATATAAGTATAGTCATTTATTGTTATTATTCACTACTAGTCGTTCTTATCGTCACTTTGACTTTCAAAGTACCACGGTTTGCATCCAGAGGTTAAAAGCATATTTCTTTAAATTGTCACTAATGCAGTAACTTTAATATCGCAAGTTAGCATTCATGCAGCATTACATGTGTGCTCCAGGGAGTCCAATCGTATCCTCTCGTAAGGATGTAAATCAGTTGAATGCTACAGCATGAACGACCTGTTCTCAATACTTAAATATCATAAATGCGTGTGACCCCATATCATCATGTATTTATCTACCACTTATGTTTTTCCTTCATAATGATAGTGAAAGTTACAGCAATAGCATTAGTGAAATAGTACTGTATGGTAATAGTAATTTAAGTCATAGGAACTTTACTATAGGGTTGTTATTTTGCCATTTTGAATGTACTATATATCTGATATTAAATAAAAGATACCGAGATGTATAGTATAGAATAGTATGTGAATTTATGAAGATTCCCAAGAAGGCAGTAATGATAGTTGTAAATGTAATAGTAATAATTACTTGTTTATGCCTATAGCCTTTGAAATATGCATAGTTATAATAATTATAGTTATAGAATGGTAATAATAATATTATTTAGTAATGGAGAGTGATAGTAAAATAATATAGTAATAGTATAGTGTTTGAATATATGAAGATTCACAAAAAGGGAGTAATGATAGTTGTGAAAGTACAGGTAATGATAATAGTTACTTATTATTATAATTATAGTTATAGTAATAGTAATATAATAATAGATATAGTGTTTAGTAAAATTACAGTAATAGTATAGTGTGTGAATTTGTGAAGGGGTATGGTAGTTGTAAAAGTAAATATGATTGTTCTTTAATTATAATTATAGTAATAGTAGGCCTAATATAGTATTCGTAATGGAGTATAGTAATAGTGAAATTATAGTAGTGTTACTATAATTTTACTATTACTATACTCTGTAACTATTATGATATTAGTAATTAATGTAGTATAATTATAGTAATAGCAATATAGTAATACTATTTAGTAATAGTAATATTACTATTAATAGAAATGATGGATAGTACTAACAGTTAAATATGGTGATAATAAATAAAGACACCGGTTTTTGAAAAAATAAGCTTAACTTTTTTATAAAAAATTACAAGTTTTTACAAAAGTTATTCAAAAAGAAATCTGAATTTACAGGTTGTTATTGCGAAGCTGACTGATTCAAGCTGTTTCAGTGGTGACCTCTATAACTTAATACATTTCTGCATAATGTTACCAGTTTTTGGTTTTAATATCTAATAAACAAATTTGATTTACTGATTAGGGCATTCACACTTGGCAGTATAATGCTGCAGATTAGCCTCCGCATAGCAGCTGAGATTTTATGTGGCCCATAGTAATGTAACGAACAGCGAGAAATGTATTGCCAACAGCATGACATTCGACAGAGGGGCTCAGAAAACTGTCGCAAAATAGGATCTTTTCAATAGTACATGACTTGTTATGTGCTGTAGTCATGTCCCTTTCATTAATATGCAAATGAACTAGTAAAATGTAAATGAATTGCTAAAATGCAAATGAACTACTGTATATGAATTTAGTATTTATATTGTACCTTTCCCTAAAAGTAGGTTACAAAGTGGTTTTGCTTTTTCCCTAGTCATTGGTTCCACATGCTTAAGTGTTGCTGCCATAATTATTGGTACAATAGCAGGCAAGCCTACCAGATACCCATTTATACTCCTGGGTAGAGAGAAACAATGAAGATAAGTGCCTTGCTCAAAGACACAAGCGAAATGCACAGTGAAGGATTGAAACCCCAACCTTGAGGTTTGGAAACCAAACCGTTCCTGCTGCGCAAAACACCTTCTGCATCAACAGCTTGGCCTTTGACAGAGCCTGAGAAAATTGTTGCAAAATATGATTTAACGGTGTATGACTTGTCAGATAATCACGTCGCTGTCATTTATGTAGATGAACTTGTCAAATGCAAATGACCTACTAAATACTGGGGCGGATGCAGAAGAGGTGCAGATAGTGCGATCACACCCTTTCCCCCCTCCCCAACCCACCAAGTTGTATTAAGAAAAATAATTCTTGTATTGTATTGTGAAAATGAATATATAGGTTTAGTACTAGATTTTTAAGGAAGAGTGCAATTTCTGGGCACCTAGGTCCATGCTCTCAAAATTTTCTCACATCACCCCCAATCATGGTGGTGCTGAGGTGGTGTAGACTACTGCCAAATCCTGCATCTGCCCCAGAAATATGTAAATGAATGTTCCACATGTAAATGAGCATGGAGTAATTGCAATGTGTGATTTGATACATATTTACAAATTTTGTGTCACACTTAAAAAATAAAAAGTTTCATCAGATACTAGTATATGACATGTCAAGTAATCGTGTCCCTTTCATTAATATTCAAATGAACAAGTAAATGCAAATGAGCTACTAAATATTCAAATGAGTATATTACATTATGTAAATTAGCATGAAGCATGAAATACTCTATCAAATTTTAGTGTCAGACTCAAGAAAGTTTGAACAGACTTTGTATTTATAACAAATTCTGATGTGACAGATAAGGCGAGAATTTATTTATGTCTTGTTTAGCGAACCCACCGACTGCACATATTTAAATAAAAACAAAATTTTACTTTTGGCCAATTAGTGCACCGGGTGGGTAATATGCATTTTAAGGGTGGGTGGTTGATAACATGATAACAAGTTCTTAATAATAAGAGTGAATTTTAAGGATGGAAAAGGGGGTTAATAAAGGTGGGTGGAAGGGCTATGAAATTAGCTTTAGGCTGGGTGGAAAACATCAAGACTGAGTGGCCCCACTCAGCTCTGCCCACCTTAACTACATCCTTGCTCCGATAAATAAAAGAAGTCTTGCCTAAAGTTTTGGTAAGAAATTATAAATCTTGGAAGATATTTTTATTCCTTTTACAGAGAGCACTTAGTGAACAAAAGGAACTGAGGTCTACATGGAATGAACTGGGCACGGATGAACCAGGTTGGTCAGGTGTCTTCATCTCGTTAACATCCACCCATCTAACACTTCCGCACCCATTGAATTTGCTCTACATCATTCCAAAACTCTTCTACACCTTCATTATTCTCTACACTACCTCCACATATCTACACCTCTTCACACCTTAATATCCCTTCCCAATTCTCCATCTATCTACCAATGGTGTATCTAGGTGTCTTGAAAGGGGATTTTGGGAGGTGAAATTGGAGGGCTTGATGATTAGGTGATTTTTATCTACTTCTGTGTGATTTTTTACTTTGAACATTTTCAATGGGGGATTCGCAATTTTTTTAACGAAAGCATGCAGCCCTTGTGCACCCCCTAGACGCACCGCTGCCATATACATTGTTATATTGCTATCTATTTTATATTTTATTATTTTAACAGCGATTAAGATATTACTTTGATTTTATATGTGAATCAATTTGATGCATCCCGATTGACTTTTGAAATTTACTTGTTTAAACACAAAATGCACAGCACTGCTTACCTAACTAATTAGAGTGCCACAACATTCAATATTTGTTTAGCTGACCAGTTTGGTAGATAAGTGAATTTTGCTCTTTAATATCTTGCTCGTTTCAGTAAATATATTCAAGTAGTTTAAATGTAGACACGCTGTTTGCATAGTGATGAATAGTATTTCAGCACATGGAGGTCGAGTATTATGATATGGCTGTCTTGTTTGGGTCAGCCATATTTTACTATTACATATTAAAAAGACCTACATCTTTCCAGATTCATGTAAAACACATACAGTATGTATATCCAAAAAAAACCACCAAATTTTTCCCTTTGGGGAACTTTGGCAGTAGCAGAATGTATTGACCGTTGTGTTGTCCAAATCCCATCTTAATACATTTAATGGTTATTTGAGGAACCAAGCGATCAGACTCAAAATAAAAACAGGGGCAAGAATCAGAGCATTATTGTAATACATTCAATGGTGGCGCCAGGATTTGCCTGACGGGGGTCTGAGGTCTCCGACTGTTGGGGGAGGGGCGATTTTCTCCCCTCCCCAAAAAAAAGTGGCTGTAGTCGGGCGTCGCTCAAAATCTCTTGAAAGTGTTCCAGGGGGCGAAGTTCCTGAAAAATTTGAAAATTTGGTGGTTTCAAAGGCTTATTTTTATTGATTTTGGAGTCTACTAATTCTCCCCGACAAATTTTTGATTTTTTCCCCCTACGGGGAGCCCTGTAGACTTTGTCAGACTAAAATAAGTTTGTTCAGACTTTCAGACTGTGTTTTATAGTGTTACAGACAAAAATAAACACTTGACTTGTTTCAAACAAGCACACCTCCTTGATTGCATCAGACAGAAGCTGAGTAAACGTCCATTGTAATGTGATAATTGTTTGCCTTCAGTTCTATTGAATCAATTTAATATTGATTTATCTCAATTAATTGATTCTTTTTTGGGTTACATAAGCATGCGCAGGGATGTAGTTATGATGGGCCAAGGTGGGCCGGGTCACCCAGCATTAAAGTTTCCCACCCAGTCTGAACTTAATTTTATGACCCTCCACCCACTTTTATTAGTGCCATCCTTGAAATCCCTTAATTATTTTACCAATAAATCTCATCCACCCTTAAAATGGCTACCACCCCCCTTCAGTTTTCTACAGGTACAACCCGGCATAGGGGCCTTTACTCACCCAGTGAAATTAAAAGTTTGTTTCAAAATTATCGTACCGTCAATAGAGAGTCTGCGCCCCCTTCAAGAAGTTCAACGAATCAATCATCCGCTAGGCAGATTTTACTACAACATCTGCTGTGAATTTCATAATACGTTAATCGATAATTGATTGTCAAACATCAGCTTCCCACGCTCCCTGAAGACATTTGATAAAGTGGAATAAAAGTTACTGTAAATTATTTATATTATTAAAAAACAAAAAATGAAATTAAATACATTATTATGTTATACAAGGTGAACATTATGCTGTTAGTTTTATTGTCAGTTTAATAATCATAACGATTAGTACTCGTGCTTGCAAATTACAAATTACAAGCAAATCCATACACTGTTTAAAATATATCTCATGGTTAAAAAAAAGCAGTAGTAGAACCCCCCTTTTTTTTTTTAGCATTTATTGTAATGGGTTTTGCTATTAGTTTTACACCTAGGCACAATTTAGACAATTTACACATAATAACTCTTTTATACATTGTTTAAATTAGAAATCATGGTTGAAAAGAAAAACAGTTTAGTAGAAACTTCTTTTTGTAGCATATATTATAATGGATTTTACTAATATTAGCACAAATGTCATTACCGTACCTTTGTAACAATAATTAATTGACACGCAGTATTTAAAATGTGCTGCATTCTACATCAAAAAAGTCCTAGCAGATTTACAAAGTGATTTGTAACCAATTGCAAATTAATGATTATATATTATCTTACATTTCTTCTGCGCTGCTACTAATGTGATATTTTAATAGTTTTAGCTTTTTTCCAGCTCATTAAAATCTAATCAATTATGTTTATTTTTTACATGTTCGTCAAAAAAAACAACCTTGGACTCGTTATTGAAAGAGTGCAATCATTTTCATCAATTCAATATAATACGATATGATATGATATATAATACTGTATTTGAATGATGAGATGATACAATATTATAATACTATATTAAAAAAATTATATGATATGTGATATGATAGTGGCAATGTATGATATGATTATGTTTATTAAGGCCAACTCAGATAGCGTCGGCCGATGCAGCCCGAACCGATTTATCATCGGGGACAGTCTTAAGCCGCCGTGAGAAATATTAAACATGTTTAATATTCTATGACGCGACTGCCCCCGACGCACACCATCGTGTTTGCGTTTAACTCACACAGACCCGACGCGACAACAAATCACGTCGGGCTGCGTCGGCTGACGCTGTCTGAGTTGGCCTTTACAGTAGATCGATATATGATATGGCAATAGATTTTTATATGATATATGTTATCAATATATATCAGCTATATTGTTTTACATTTATTTTTTTTTCTTTGTATACACCTGCCTTAAATTGCCTTTACCTTTAATTTATACTGTCTTATGTATGCATTTTTCTTTTTATGCTATTGTCTACTATTAAGTTTAGTTAAAGGGGAGAGGCTATTATTATTAGCGCATGTCATAAACTGGCCTCCCTGGGCAGCCTAATTGTTTACCTAATTCTCATAAATAGAAATAAATGGATAATAAATAATATAAATATAATGTACCGTATGATATGTTATGATTTAGTTTATTATAATATGAAATGTGTCGGGAAAATTGTATTTGACATGTGTTTGCAACACAACCATATTATTGATAATATGTGATGTATAAGATATAAAAATATATTTAAACAATAGAGAAATAATAACAACAATACTCAAATAGGAACATGATGTTATAATTGTATCAAGCATAGTCCTTAAAGAAAAAGTTCCCTTTTTTCAGTTGTATGAAAAAAGTGTCTCTGGCAGGATTCGAACCTACAACTTCCCGCTACTATTAGGCAAGAGTATAAATAATTACTGTCTTTATTTCAGATCTGTCAGCATTCCGACCGGTATATGCCCCAAAAGATTTCTTGGACGTGTTAATAACTGTCAAGAATCCACAGCAACAGCAGAGCTCTAATCCACTGCACAACACTTGGGGATTACTACAGATCCCACTCAAGGTTAAATCGTTAACGGAATTGGTAAGATTGAGTCCGATATTGTTGGTATTGTGCATCGATTTACCGTGACATTATGCATCATTATCAGAAGCGGATGTGTGTTCAGCGTGGTTGTGTGAATATTCCGAATATAAAAAAAAAAAAAAAATATATTCAGCTGGCTTTTATAGCATTATGATGCCTCAGGCGAAAGGTTGTGATTGATTTTCTTTTTTATTATTATTTTTATATCCAAGATGTACTATATTTATTATAGAAATCAATAATAAAAAAAAGTTTAACTGTAGTTTTGGTCTGATGATTTAGCAAGAATAAAATGAAAGAAATAGAAATAATACAAAGTGTGCATAGAAATATAGGTCTATCAAAAGTTAGGTTCAATATTGATTACTATTATATAATTTGGTGTCTAATTGTATATATATAAAAAAATGAAATATAAAATCAACAATTATTTTTATTTTTATATCCAAGATGTATTTATTATATAAATCAATAATAAAAAAGATTAATTTGAAGTAAAATGATATAAAGTAAAATACAGAGTATAGTGCATAAAAATAAAGGTCTATATAAAATTTTGTTATTATAATACTAAATATAAATTGGTCTAATAACATTTTAATTGTTTATATAAAAGAAAGAAATATAGAAGCCAAAATTTGAGCTTTAACCTTGAAATACAGGTGTCTTCCAATTATAGACGGTTTTTTGGACCAGTTTCATGGTCTTTAGCAGCTTTGGTCTTTAATTAGAGACTGGAGAAAGGTGGTCCCTAATTGGAGGTAGTCTATTTTGGAATGGTCTTTCATTAGAGGGAGACTTGTAACACTAAAAGCTACCAAAATTTAGAAAATTGTTTAAGTATTATAAAAATTATTACATTTTTGTCCAATTTTTCAAATATAATGGTTTCAAATTTGTTAAGAAAAAAATGAGATAATAATTGGAAATTGCAATTTTCAAACTACCCATCAATGCTAATATTGATACTACAATTAACTTAATTACAATTAATGATTTTATTACTTCTGTTTGTTTCTGCTAGTATTTGCTTTTGCTTTACAGTACTCAACAGTACAACAAACATTAGTAATATTTCAACAGTATATATTGCACGAATACTGGAAGAGCTTGCATGTTTATTGATATCTTACCGTACGTGAGTTGGGCAGAAATACCATTCCGTGATTTACAATCAACAAACAGAGGACATAGAAACTGGTGACTCTTAGCCGACACTTTAACCGCGGAAACCACTAAATCCAATTTATGTCTATCTATCTTTAATTTGCTAGTATATGTTGAAGTATTGGCATAAAACGGCAGGTAGATAACTGCTCTGTAGTTAAATTCTTTTACAAATGCATGGAATCATAAAAAATTGTAAGGTTCTTGTTTAAATTAATTATGATAGATGTCATACACGATGGATGCCTATTAAGGTTTCCACTTTAAAGATATGTTTCCACCTAAAAGATGTAGAAAAAAATAAAAAAATTAGAATAAAACTTAAAAATGCTCATAAAAAAGAACCACTAAATAAACTTTCTCTAGGTCACAGATCAAAATAGCAAATAAAATCTATTTTTGATTACTTTAAAGATATTAACTTTAAAGATATTTCCACCTAAAAATTAAGAAAAAATCTTTAAAAATTAAAATAAACTTCAAAATTCTCATTTAAACAAGAACCACTTTGAAATCAACTTTTACTAGGACAGATCAAAATAACAGAAAAAAAAATCCATTTTCGATGACTTATCCTATTAAGGATTCAACTTTAAAGATATTTCCACCTTAAATTTAAGAAATAAAACTTTAAAAATGCTCATAAACAAGAACCACTTAAATTAACTTTCAATAAATCACAGATCAAAATAAAGGATAAATCCACTTTAAATGACTTGTCATACTTACTATGAAAATACGTAATTTTTTTACTAGGGTATGCAAGATAGAGTAATAGTGTTGAGGATATTTTTATCTAATTTCAGTTGAAAGGAATAAATAATTAAAATATAAAAATTCAGCGTGTGCTTGGATTTTATCATGAAAGATCTTATAATTGCAAGATAGCGTTCTCCATGATTTACGCGTAGCAAATAGAAGTGTCGATGTTCAGTAAAAAGAAGCATAAAATGTAATCATTTTTGAGAGAGGGCATCCTAGTTGTTACCATGGTTAGAGAATTTGCATGCAGAACTCTTGAGATGCACTATCTTAACAATCGTTGATGTCAAAGTTGAAAAGTAATCACTTTTTCAAGAGGGCATCCTACACTGCATTATTACAGAATTTGCACACAGAAATCATGAGAATGCTATCTGGTATTATAAGATCTTTGCACATTATGTAAAAGTTTACGAAAAAAATTTCTCTCTTTTGTAGCAAAATTTCTATGGTGATTTGTCTCCTAGCAATGCCCAAATTGGGGTGGAGAATTTGAGTTCTATGACAACAGGTAGGTACAGAAAATTTGACCTCGCATAACCTTTCAACTTTCATTAAGCTTGCCCAACCCCTGTCACCTCATTGGAAATAAAAACATTTGCTAAGTGAATGAAAAAAGATATAAAAATGCTTAATAAAAATGTTACTTGAGTTGAATTTAAACTTTGTGGTTCAGATGCTTGAATTCCTTCCGACTTAGTCTGTGTAGACCATCTTGTGCATATGTTTTTTTTTTTGTTGTAAAAGAATTAACAATAGGAACATGATTAATTTCACTGGCCTTGGCTGGCTCCTGTGCATTAAGTTGGAAAATGGAAAAATTCACTGGAATCATTGAATTGTTTGGTTGAAATAAGTGCAGTTACCAGGCATGTTTATAACATAGTTACTGCATTCTGTGTGCAGACCTCTGAAAATTTTATGGATCTTTGGGATAAATTAGATAGAGACTGAAATGTTTTTAATCTGCATATCATCATGTTTTCTAATTTATCCTGCTGATCAACAATTCAATGTTTTATTTGAATTTTTGAAGGTTTCTTTGGAGAACTCAACGTAACAAACGTGTGTGCAATGGATCAATTTTAGTGACGATCCAATCAGATTGCCACAGTCGGCTGACGGCGTCGCGTTGTCATGCGTTCACACAGAGCAGATTTAGATTTGTTGGCGTTGCGCTGAGTGCCTTGCTTAAGCCATCTACATATACTAAGACAAATATACTTAATAGTTATCTCATTCAGATATCAGAACTCTTTCTAGATCTTCTCATACTCTAGATCATCTCTTCATACTATAAACTGTCTCCTAAATTCTCTATGCTCTCAATCTGCACGACATTATTAATAATTACCAACTTGACTGATTTTCACAGATTTTCAAAACTGAATATAAATCTTGAATGTTTTGTTCTGACTTATTGAACTCTGAAGCCTCCTATAAGTGTCTCAATTCGAAACACACTGGTTGATGAAATAAAGAAATTACTATTCCTATTATATATTTAACAGTTGTTATCACTAAAAATCAAATATAGTTTGAAATCCAATTTTAATGAAAATGGATTATCTGATATAGATAAGATAGTATTTTAGATGTGTCTGTTTTTAGATTGTATTGGAGACCTTCTATCACTACTTAGTTTTAGTATAATATTAAACTCATCATACTCACCTCATTATTTTATTAAAATGTTATTCTATTTGGTTGAACATGATTATTTGATTTCCATTTATATTTTGATATGTGTTTTTAATGTAATTGCATATTATTTGTTGATTCATAAGTGGATTTTTTTAAAATTATCTCTCCGTTTCTAGGTTTTTGAATATATTAAACTTGAATAGAAATAATTCTAATTAGTTGTCATCGCAACACTAAACGAGTCTGGGACTAAACTCGGCTAGCTGTGCGATTTTCTAGTTCCAATTACCCATTTTTTTTTGTAGGCTCACTTTCAGTGTTTTTTTTTTCTGGTGATAAAGAAAAGAATGATAATTATTTTGCAGGTTTTGAGAATGAAGCAGTCAAATTTGGACATAAAATCGTTAATGAAAATCATTGCCCTCTTGCACAATTGTATGCGAAGCAAGGCTGCCCAACAACTTTAAGAGCTCAAGTCTGGTCCAGCATTCTAGGTGTCTCAACAGACGATATCGTAAGTAATGCTGTTTATATTTCCATTTAAACACCAGACAGTGTATAAAAAACACCAAGATTGTAAAAAAAGTATCATGTAGGTTGTAATGTAATGTAAGTCTTTTTAAATATTTTATGTTTTTATCCAAAATAAGTGGTTGTAAAAGAAGCATAAATAAAAATATAGAAAAACTTTCATCTTTTTCTGAAATTTTCAGTTTTTCACTGTGGCGGGTATGCTAATTGGCCAAAAATAAAATTTTATTTTTATTTGAAATTATCAAAATTGGAAAGCAATAGATTCGTAAAACAAGGTATAAAAATAGTCTTGCCCAAAGCATTGTGTAGTTGGGGGTGGGGGGGTGATAGTTCCTTCCCACATGCCTTTCGGAAAGGGGCATATGTAGATAAAGTGCCTCGCCCACGGACACAATTGAAAATGCAAAGCAAAGGTTCAAACCTCTGACTTCAGGTGGACCGAGACAACCGCTGTGCCGATTTAGATAAACATAAATGAGATGCCTAAATCTTGTTTTAATTACTCTTTCTTTCAAACTTTCCCATTTGTAATTAAGTATGCTATCAAAGTCTAAAACATGCAGTGAAATTGGTGATCTTATTTGGTTGTCATGGCAACATTAAACATGTTCAACCTCTCATCTCAAAAGGTTATCAATTGAAACTGTGGTGCTGGCTATTTAGATCTGTATTAGACACTATATCTTAATTTAGCCTTTTATAATGAGAGGTTTTGATAAATTCTGGACTGATTTTGCTTTATTAAATTGTGATATAACACCGACATTGGAGCCAGAAAGCTAATACAGTACTCCTAAAACGACCAGAGATGATTCAACAATGTTTGGTATTTATATTAAACTGTAAGGTTTAGGATAAACAGGTATTTTGGTAACAACGAGTGATTAGACATCCTATAAAATTTTATTTATTTTTGTATTAACTGATTTTATTTATTTATTTTTTTGTTTAAACCATATTTAAAGAGGGTCAAGAAAGTCTGTTTGTATTCAGGGGGGCCCTCTGTAAAAAAGAAATAAAATACAAGACAATTTAATACATACAAATGGATAAAGAATGTACGTAAACTTATGTGAAAAATACAAAACAGTTAAACTATAAAACAATCAACTATCTGATAGGTGATTATACACCTAATAATTAATTTTTAAAATGTGTATAAAAAATATGAACTTACATATATGAGATACATTGAACAGCTAAGCAGGGTTTATATTTGAAAGTATTTTCAACTGTACAACCCCAGAGATATTCAGGAAGGTGTTAATAGAGGTTAATACATGCCTATGCACATAATAATGTAATAAAGTATTATTATATACTTTTTTGTGTTCCTGGAATAAATGAATAACATTGAAATTTTAACTAAAAATTAATTTTAGCTTAATATAACATAAACATAGTAAATTTTCCATTCGTTATCGATTGTATTTCAAGGATTGTTGAGTTTGAACGTCTGGCACTGGCAAGCTTAAAAGACTCGCACATGCTTAATATGGTCTTGATGACATCACACCATGACCAAATATAGGCATATTATTACTATATATGGGCATACAACAGTTTTTTTGTCAAATAAAATTTGATAGTCTGGACAAGAAACATTCAAAGAGTTTGAATTGTAAGTTTCATAAATGTTCAGTCACCAATTTAATATCATCTTTTAATCTTTCTGGGGCCAGCCCATGAACGCATTTCTACGAAGCCCCAATTGTTTTGGACCCCTGTTGGACTTGTTCCTGCTCTCCCCTCCCCCAGTTGGCAAATTTCTGGAGCTATAGAGTACCACAGTCGTGTCGTCACATCCCCAGGTGGCGCCCTCTGTTGCCAACCAGACGTTGGTTACCGTTCATTATGCCTGAATAACTTAATAGTCTTTCTGGAATAGGCATTTTAAAATCTAATATTTTACCATCAAAATGTACTAAAAACACAAAAGCTCGCATTATATTGGTTATCTAACACACATTAATCATCAATTGAAATTTACAAAGAAAAACTCCGATACAACATCTTAATAATTACATTAGAAATTGGGATCAGTGGTTTGTCAGTGGAGAAAATGGCGTCCGGTTGAACACATTTTGCAACGATAGCCACGGAGTAGTATCATGTGGTATCGTGACGTAACGCTGTAGTTCTCTATACTGAATCTTAATGCAAACACTGCTATTCTCTTAAGTACTCTTCATGTACATTTACTTTCTAACTTAATGTTTATCGGATAATGTATGACTATAAAACATGCGGCATGTTCTAAATCAAGTAAAACATGCAGTGCGGTTGGTTTGATGTTTTAATTGGTTGTTTTGTGTGATGTTTGTTTTTTTCAGTTCCTTTATAATACTGAATATTTTAAATTTAAATGTATAAATGATGTATGATTTGGAATTTGAATGCAAAGTAATTATAGAAATATTATTATATATTTTGTATTCTACTTTTTATGTCTTGCCACCATCTGGCAATTTGAACCTAAATGTTTTAGGTCCCTGGGAATAAACCAGGTACCTCAGTTAGATGAGTGAATAGGTTATAAATCTTCAAATGTGTCTTTCTCATCACCACCTTTTTTTCGTCAACATGGTCATCATCATGATCATCAAATGATTATCATTATCATGATCATCATCATCATTATTGCAGTACCATCATAATCATGATCATCTTCTCTGTCTTTGACATCATCACCATCTTTGTCATCATCATTATCATCATGATTATCAGTTCATTTCAATTCAAATTTATTCGGCATCACATAAAAAAAAACAATTACAATTATATACAAAAAGTGGTAGACACAGTTAAAACATTATTAATAAGGACAGATGACAGGATAGCCCATGAAAGTCTTCAAAAAGAAAACTTAATTCCGATGGAGTCCCAGAACAAAACATATTTGACAACATAAAGCGAAATATGTTCATTGCAAAAAACATGGAAAATTACTGTATCATGTTGGACATTATTGTATCATGATCATCATTATTGTGATCATCAACTATTATCATTATCATGATCATCATGATTATCATTTTAATGATCATCGTTATTATGATCCTTATCATGATCATCCTTATCATGATCATCATTATGGTCATCAACATCATCATGATCATCATTTTTATAATTATCATTATTATCATTATCATGATCATCAATTTTATGATCATCATTATTATGATCCTTATGATCATCATCATGGTCATCAACATCATCATGATCATTATTATCATTATCATGATCATCATTATCATGATCATCAATTTTTTGATCATCATTAATATGATTATTATCATGGTCACCATTATCATGGTCATCAACATCAACATGATCATCAATTTTATGATCATCATTATTATGATCACTATCATGATCATCGTTATCATGATCATCATTTTTATATTAAATGATCATTATTATTATCATGATCATCATGATCATCAATTTTATGATCATCATTATTATGATCATCATTATCATGGTCATCAACATCATAGTTAGATATATTTTACAGATGAATTTATTATAAAAATTTAATATAAAGATATTTAAAAAATCATTTTCAATTCTCTATGTTTTTCATTGTTTTTTCAAGTTAGCGGTTTAGAGAGAATTCACCCTGGTGTCGGGCTCTTAAGCCGCAATCGCACTGGATTTAAAATAGGGAAATTTTTACCGAGACTGTGGGTAACATTCCAATGGGTAAACTTCCTGTCGTTCGCACTGGGATTATCGACGTGGTTAGTTTTACCACAGGCCATGGTGAAACTAACCATTCGTACAGATTCAACTAAATCGTGACGTTGACGCTCACGTACGACAGATCGTAACAAGCTAAACCGCCGGGTTCTCCTTCTTGTTGTGACAGTGTTTCTTTGGACTAGGCCCACATCATGTTGTATTTGTTGATAA